GTGCATGGCACAGTCTTGAGTGTTCACTTATATAGGAAGTGCTATAAAACTGTTATTATGTCTCAGGACAGAAGCATTATGCTCTAATGCAAGCATGTCAAACTCGCGGCCCACAACAAATATTTTTGTGGCCCAGCCAATATAACTGTATGTAAGAAACGTTTTTAAAATTTTTGTAACTTAATTTTTACAATATCCTGTTATACATAATTATTAATAACGAACTACAGCGTTCGCTAATGACTGATGACTATAATCGTGTTGCATTCATTTTTCTCACGTGCCTTATGCGCGGGTGCACCATATGTCTCTCCACTAATACTAGCAGTGAATATTTTAGCGGCTGATTGCCACGTCATTAATCTTGTACTGACTTGTTTGGTGTGCACAACAGGAAGTATTTTGCTTTCGGAGAACAAGAAAAATAGGTTTATTTGCGTTACGCTTATAAATTTGTGCAGTTATTCAGTGTCTGGTAAGTTAATGTTCAAGAAAAAAGTACTAATTTTTATTAAAATGTATTATTTTAATGATTACTCATTTATTTCAGCCCTTTGTATTCAGCATGTCTCTATCAAAATAAACCTACTTTTCTATGAAAATTGAAGCTTTTGTTTTTTTGTGGCTGACATAAACTTAAACCTTGTTTATTTGGCCCGTGTTAGCCTCTGAGTTTGACATGCTTGCTCCAATGCTTTTAATTCATGTACTCCGCATAACAACAGTGCTATTATTATTATTCCCCTTTTACAGATTAGGAAACTGAGGCATAGATAACTTGCCCAAGGTTGTGCTACTCCTAAATGGCAAGAGTCAGGATTGAACCCTGGCAGTGTGACTCCAGAGCCCATCCTTTTAGCCCCGTTCTGCTTCTCTGAGCCTCAGTTTCCTTATCTGCCTAACAGGTCTGTGATAATATACAGTCTGATAGTTTGCTGTGGGAAGACAGACAGCCAGAGTCCAAATGAGGGACAGCATTGAAGACTTTACTTTGAGGGCACAGGGGAGCCACTGAAGGTTTTGAGAGAGAAATAGTGGTTTAGCTCAAGGCTACCCTTTCCCTCCCCTGGCTGCCCTCTTCCTGCCTAGAGTCACCTTCTGACAGCTGACTACATCCTGCCTGACATCCGTGTCCGAGTTTCCTATCCCGTGAGATTTTGAACTGCTTAGGGGGCATGACAGCTCATCCGGACTCCCTGGCTTGATGGATGGGAAGGGATACTCTCCTCCTCCCCCTCATGCCAGGGGTTCTTGCTCTTGTTCATCTCACCGCAGAGGGCTGCCTCAGAGCGCCCAGCCAGGCTCTCTTCACTTCTGGGCTTTGAGAGCTAGAGGCTGAGAGAGGTGCCTGGGTTGGTCCTACCTCTTACTTCTCATTCCCTCTGGAATCCTTTGCATAATAGCAGTGTGGGTGACGTGAGACTGAGGCTGGTAACTGGGTGGGCGGGGGACGAGGGAGAGAAAACAAAAACCAGAGCAAGAGAGGGTAGAGGAGACTGAAAAAGAGATTGGGAGAGGTAAGAGAAAGAGAGAGAGAGAGAGAGAGAGAGAGAGAGAGAGAGAGAGAGACTGCTCTCATTGCTTCAGGCTAGGTGTGCCTGGTAATAAAAATGGGCATCTCCACTAGTGTTGTGTTCCTTTGTTCTGGCCGATGTTTTGGGCATGTGTAGGCACAGCCATAATGCACACGCATGTACATGTCCACATAGATGCAAGCACCTGTGGCAGTATACTGGTACACACCTCCATGCTTACCTGTGTATGCAAGCGCACAGACAGGTCTACGAGCGCCTCTAGATTGTGTGTGTACAGAAATGTGTGCGGTGGGCGTGCACATCCTCGCTGAAGCCCCATCTCCTCTGTGTGCCTGCCCCATGTGAGTGTACCCTCCTCTCCACACCTTTGTGTGGCTGTATCATCTTTCTCAGCAACCTTTGGGTTCCTGTCCGTGGCCCTCTCTCTACTGAGAGCTTCCTGAAAGAAAGTTCATGTCCTTGTCATGTCTGGACCCTTGGGACCAAGATCAAGGCCTGGTAGAGGGAATGTGGTCAGTAAGTCCTGACAGACTGAATGAATATGTTTGGGTGAGTTGATCTAATTCCAGAAGTATGTGTGCATGTAAGAATATGTCCATGGACATGCACACATGCACCACACCGTGGGGCTCTGGATGTGTCTCAAAGGTGTGCATAAGTGAGCCACACCTACAGATTTATGCAATGGTGTGCTGGTAAATGTTTGACAGTCAGCTCTTCATAAAAAAAATAAATCCCTGATTTGTAGCATTTGCCCATTTCTGTGGTGTAAACATTCCCACCATCGCCAATTTCAAAATGGCCTAACTGAACACAGAATTGAGCAGAGATGCCTGTAGGAGGCGGTCCCAGCACCCCACTGGGTTTTTGTCTGGGACAGCCCGTGGTGGGGAGGGCAGGCGGGGCAGAGTGCCTCATGCCTGGGAGAAGTCTGCACGCTGGCCCAGCAACATTTCTTTCCGGTGCCTGGCACCAGGGGAGCAGGCGGTGTCTGGCTACCCGCCAGCTTCTGCCATTGGCTTGGAAGCCAGTCCAAACTGATGTTCCTTGTTAGGCAGGTCTAGACACTCACCGAGACAGCCGCCTTCCCTCACTCCCTGCAGACACTCTGGGAGCTCTTGGAGTTTGGCGAGGTTAGCAGTACTACGAGGGGGGAACTCTAAGCCTGGAACGTGATGGAGGATGGCGAAGGAATGCCCAAACCTCCACCAGAAGGGTGGCTGGGGACAGTGCGGGTCAGGAGGCTGGGGCCTGGAACCTTCACAGTGCCAGTCTGGACACATAGCTTGTCCTCTCTGGACTCCACCGTGCCTTTTTCCCAAGAAGGAATAGGTTTTCTGAGCTCTATGGCTCCTTCCCTGACCCTCTGGGAGTCAGAGCCCTTATCCTGCGCCCTGATTGTTGAAATATACAATCAAAAGCCAGAGAGAGGCCGTGCGGTGGACATGCACTGCAGGAGGGGCCCTGCCTTGGGCCCTGGGCTTTAGGGGCCTTGCTCTGGCCTTTCTCTGATCATCCCCTCCCCATGGGGGGGGGGAGTCTATATGCCAACAGAATAGGCTCACCCTGAGCCTACACCCCTCTCCTAGAACTGTATTTTGAATTCCTTCCCAAAGAGACTTGAGGCAGATTCTAGGACTGGCTACCATCTATCTTGAGGTTGCACTGGTCTGAGGGGTAGCCAAGGAGCGGCTGTTTTGGGTGGCAGTAGCTGGAACATGGATGTACAGGCTGGAATGGGCACTCCTGTGTGGGAGAGGCCTGGACATGTTGAGTGGAGCTGGAGGTGGGGAGGGAACGGAGGCTGGGCTGTGTGCTGGGTGCCAGAGTCAAGGCCCAGGACTGGCTTGCCTTATGCTGTCACTTTCGGGTATGGAAATTAGAGGAGGTCGAGCTTTCCAAATCCAAACCGTCAGGATGGAAGGATAGAACATCATTTTAAAGTTTGATTTTTAGCTGTCAGATATTTAGATTTATGGTCTGTGGGCCTCCATTTGTATTCTTGCCCTGGGATTATAAATGTTAGGAGTGAGCCTGGGGGGAGAGATGCTTGTGGGCCCCTGGGAACTTGGGCTGAATTGAGCAGGGAGTTCTGAGCGTTGGCCAGTTCTAGAGCGAAGTTTTCCTGGGTCCCATACTGCAGGCTGGGCTCCCCTAGGCCTGTGTGGCTCAGAGCGGGCCATCGCCCTTCTCTGGAGCCTTTGGGAGAGCTGCACAGTGACAGGCTTCCTCCCCCACATGGAGACAGTGTCTTCCCTCCTAGAGACCCGCGCTGCAGCCCTGGTCTGTCAGGACCTGGGCCATGACCTCTGGGACTTTCCCCATCCCCCTCGCTGTGCCTTACTGTGGCTGTTTTGAAGGTGAAGTGGATCACCTTTAGCCTCTTCAAATGAAAATATTAAAATACTCAGGCCAGTGAATCCCAGCTTCTGTAGTGAATGAGACCTCCATGCTTTTTAAAAAATCTATGATGAGAGATATCAGTAGGATAAAATGAAGCTTTTTTTTCCCTCTTTTCAGAGCAATTTATCATAATGTTTTCATTTTAAACTGGCTTTGGTCAGCTTTTCTTTTTCCTATTTCTCATGGATTGGTTGTGAGTTTATACCTCATCTCTGAGTTAAGGATAATAAATTCAGTAAGGGTGGTGATGGGAAGGTGGGCAAAGAGGTACAATTTTCCAACAGACAAGTACTTTTCTGTTGGCTTTTAAAGTCTTGATTTGATTTTTAAATACCTTCCTCCCATCTTAAGTGTATGACAGTTTTTTAAAGTTAAAATGAACTAAATTAAATGTGTTTAATGCCTTTGGGAGGCATGTACAGCCATCCTTCAAATAGGGCTGGACAGTGAGGGGATAGCTGTTTGGCTGCCTTCAATGGGGCCTTTCTTCACTGTCAAGGGTCAAATTCTCCTGTTAGCATCCTGTTATGGCCTGAATTTCTGTGTTCCCCCCAAAATACATATGTTGGAGCCCTAACTCCCAATGTGGTAGTATTTAGAGGTGGGGCCTTTGGGAGATGTAGTTAAATGAGGTCACGAGGGTGGGACTCCGTGAGGGGATTGGTGTTCTTATAAGAAGAGAGAGGAAGACCAGAACTCCCCTCTCTCTCTGAGACAAGGCGCCATCTGCAAGCCAGGACGAGAGTTCTCACCAGAAGCCTATCCTTTGGCACCTTGATGTTAGACTGACTTCCCAGCCTTCGGAACTGCAGAAATAAATGTCTAATGTTTAAGCCATGCAGCCGGTGGTGTTTTGTGATAGCGGCCTGAGCCAAATAGAACACACCCCATCTTGCCTTTCCCATCTCTTCACGTCAGGAGAGTCCCAGGGCCCCTTCCAAAATCCTCCCATTCGTCTTGGAGGGGACTGTGTTTTGTGTCCCTCTGAGTACTGTGTCCACTCCAGGCTGCACCCTTTCCTGGGGAAAATTGAAACCCTGGACTGTCACTGGTTTATTTTAGGCAGAGAACTCAAGGACATCACACTCACCATCTTCTGAGGAACTGTTGTGCTGCAAAGGGAAGGAACTCATTCAGCGTTGCTGGATTCCAAGGAAGAGTGGATTGCAATTCATTGTGCAGAGGAGACTTTCACCAGGGAGTGCTGTCCAGCAGGGGCTGGGGTGAGCCCCCCGTCATGGAGGAGTGCAAGTATCGGCAAGGGATATTTATGAAAGGACTCATCCCCTGACACTCCCGTGGGGACACTACTGCATGGCTTCTCAGCCTCCCGTCCCTCCTCTCTGAGAATCTCTGCCTTTGCGATTGTTTGAAATGGGATGCTAGGAGTTGAGAAAGCAATAAAAGAAATCCACTGAAGTGAGGACCAAGCTATAAAAAAACCTTTATTTCATGTACCAGGATTTTTTTCTTTTTTTAGTTTTCTGCTTTTTAAAATTTTTTTCTGTTAACAGTCTGGAAAAAAAAAAGGACCCACCAAGAAAATAAAATGGAGGTTGGTTTCTTGAACTGGTTTGAGCTGGACATGAGCAATCATCCACCCTGGCAAGCAGTGCCCTTGCCATCCCAGTCCTGGCTTCTTCCCTCTGGGCCCCCAGCCCTTTCTCAGCCCAGCTGGGTTCACCCACACCCAATGGCCTTCTTCCAGAGGACCCAGGACCCCGGCCTCCCGGCCCGGAGAGAAGCACTGATTTCCGTCCCGGACACTCGGCCACAACAAATTGGGGCCAGCCGTTCGTTGTCGTTGGTGGGCCTCACCCTTCTCTCCAGTCCTCTAGCCTTTCCGGTGTGGAATCTGGTGGGGTGGAAGGCCAGGTTGGAGTGGGGAGGGAGTGGTCGTGATTTCTGCCCAGACTGGAAACACTGGGTGGTCGCCACACCTGGTACTGGCCCCCATTGCTCTGCCCTGGGGCCCGGGGGCCTCCTGGGAACTGCTGGGTTGGGCCGGCAGATCTGCCTTGTGGTTCAGGCGGAATTTAGGGTTCCAGATGCTGCTGACCTAAGAACAGAGCTTTCCTTTCCCAGACAAAAGATGGGAAGGGGAGCTGGGAGTGTGGAAACCCCAAAAGCCTTGCTAGCCACTCCCCTCAACTCCCAGAGCTCACCTTAAGAAACTTCAGGCCAGGGCAGTGTCAAGAAAGAGGCAAACCGAGACATGCAGATGTGGGCAGCAGGGCCCCCCACCTCCAGCAGGCTGGGCTGAAATCCAAGCTTTACAAAGCTGTTGGGTTTCTCTCGGTCTGAACTGGCCCCTGTCCGTCTGGGAAGAAAGGGGAGCAACCCGGGATGCTGCAGACTTTAGTCTGTGGTGTAAGTTTAACTTTTGAGGTTGGTCCTCGCCCTAGGACCAAACTTTATAAAGCTCTCCTCTGCATGTCCTGGCCTCCGCCACTCCCAGCAAGCCTTGGAGGATCCTCTTTTTCTCTGACCCCTAAAGACAGTGGGGGAAGCAGGGTGGCTGATGTCTTCTCACAAGGAAGCCCCCTCCCCTTTCTGTGACTGGGTTATGGCATTAAAGGGGACACAGAATGAAGAGTGGCTTTGGGGACCTCTGGTGCCCTTTCCCTCTCTGTCTGAATGGCAGGATACGTTTGCTCACGTGTGTGTAATTTTTGCTTTGACGTTGGATGTGGGGGCAGGGGGTTGGGAGCACAGTGAGGAGGCATATGGTGTGTGTGTGTGTGTGTGTGTGTGTGTGTGTGTGTGTGTGTGTGTGTGTCTGAACAGCTGACCGATAATTCAGAAATGTTCTCAATGTTTTGGGGCTGGATGGCAGCTATTTTGGTTGTCTCTGGCATCTTCCTCTGGGCAGGTGGCATATCTTTTTAAAAGTCATCAGCGCCAAGAATAAGAATGAGCCTTTGGAGCTCATCTGGGTCAATCCACATGCTTATTACACAGGGGAAACTGAGGCCCAGAGAGGCCACACAGCAAGGGTTTTCAGAATTCAAAGCTGGATTCTAGACTGGTGCCCTTTCCATGCATGCAAGTGATGTGCATGTGTGTGGTGGGAGGGCACTGTGAGCATACATGCCAGTGTGGAGCTGCTGTCCATGGCTTTGGAGGGCATGAGTCATCTTCTCTGGACCCTCCCTCTGCCTGTGTATGGGGATGGAAGGGTTTAGATGGCATGTGTATCCCTGTGAGTGATTCTAGCCCTGGGCTTCAAGGACTGTGTGTGTGTGTGTGTGTGTGTGTGTGTGTGTGTGTGTGTGTTGTGCGATCTCCTTCGTGAAGAGAGGATTCTCCATCGTGGTTCTCTCTCTCTCTCCGACAGTAGCAGCGCCTTCCTGGTCTAAGGAAGAGATCTTTCGTGACAGGAACTCCCTGCAGCTCCCTAGGGCCTTTTGTCTCTCCCTCCTGCTTTAAGCCCAGCTCTAATCTCTCACAATAGTATTTTTTAAAAAATGGATTTGTATATTTGTTTTGTTTTTCTCTTTACAAGTTCCCTGCTAAATTTTAAGTCCCCCACCCACCCCATTTTTTTTGTTTTCACAGTTTAAAGCTGGAAAAGAATTAAAAGAAAAATACTATCTGATTTTCTTTCGAGTAAATCCACGTATTATATATTTACATTTATTTATAGTCTGTGGTTTTTTTTATTAAAAAAAATCACCACTTGTTTTTCCTTTTTCTTTTGTAAAAAGAAACCTTTTTGCAATTTCATTGTTGGACCCACTGTACCCCAAGGGGGCTTCAGTGAGTCCAAGGACCCCCAAAGGGTCAGTGAGCCCCCTTCCCAGGGGACTGCGGGCCTATGAGTCTGGGGGTTCACCATCGCCCCAGGGTCATTGGATGGCCCTGAGGTGAGGGGTGAGGAGGGAGAGCTGCTTTATATCCCCGGGAGTGGGGGTGGGATTTCCTGCCCCCAAGGACAGGATCTTGGGGTTTTGACCCCAAGAGGCTCACCCTGAGGATTCCGGGGTTTCTGGGCATCTCAGCAAGCCACCGGCAGCCATCCCTCTCCTTCCTTTCCCTCAAGGCCTAGGAAGTCATCACAGTGGGTTAAGGACCATTAAGGACTGGGAACCTGGGGGCTGGGCAAGCCCCAAGTGCGCCCCCCTCCAGGCACCTTTCGGACAGGAGGGACCAAGGACTCTTGGGTCACCTGGAGGCCTATAACTGCCCCATTGATGCTGGGTGGAGTGGACTCGCAAGCCAGGAGCTTGCCCAGCATTCCTGGGGCACCCATCCAGAGGCTCCAGGGACCTGGCAGTGACCAAGAGGCTCACCTGGCCCCGGGGCCTCTGAGTCTCCACCCCCACTCACCCAGGGAGGCAGAGCCCTCTTGGGGTTAAAGGGAACAGAAAAGTAACTCTCCCAGAGCTTAAAAAAACAAACAAGCAAGTAACGGAAAGCCCTGATTAAATGCAAAGAACATCTCCCTTCCTTTCTGTTCCTTCTCAATTTTTTGCTTTAATGTTATCTTAGTTCCCTTTTATTTTTTTCATTTAAATTGGTTTTTATTAAATGTTAAAATAATGGTACATGGGAAATCATGCATTTTCTTTTAGATTTATTTTCTATTTTTAATTTTTATCCTCTCGCTGTTTTTAAAGTTTGTTTTTTCTTCCCTCGTTAATGTGTTTTTCACATTTTCTGTTGTTTGGCTTCTTTGTTCCTCTTATATTTTGTTCTTTTTTTTAAAATTTACTTATGTTTTTCTCTTTTTTTTGTTTTTTTGTTTTTTTTTTGCTTTGGGAAGGTTTTCCCCCCCAGTGGATGGTTTGGTTTCCCCCACCCTCCCCTACCCCCAGGCCCACCCCACGGGCCGGGCCGTGCCCCCACTCTCGGGCTCTGCCTCGGACCCGGCAGGGCAGGCGCTAGCGAGGGCCCCGTGGCTTCATACGGGGGTGGTCCGGCGGTTGGCTGTGTTCGAGTGGAGAGAGTCTTTGTTTTCCTTCTGGATACAGTTGTGAACTTGGAGGAAGCTGTTATCCCTGTCGGAGTTGTAGGTGGCGGTGGGCGTGGTGGTGGCCTTCAGGGGGTCCCTGCTGAGGGTGTACATAGAGATCTCCGTGGACGGCAAGGTGTTGAAGCCCTTGAGGCCCACGGGGGAGGCGTCCCTGGAGTGTGAGGGCTCGGTGGAGCGGGAGCTGGAGCGGCTGCGGCGCTGATAGCGGTAGCGGTAGCTGGGGATGCGGGTGATGGCGGAGGCCTGGAGGTAGTCCGTGGCGCGGGCCGTGGCCCGCAGCTGTTTGTGCCGGTCGATAAACATGTGCACGGCCAGCACACCGACCATCTCGGCAATGATGAAGGACAGGGCCCCGAAGTAGAAGGACCAGCCGTATGAGTAACTATTCTTTTTGGAGTCGCTCTTGGAGGGGTCTCCGGCATTGGCAGATATGTACACTATGATGCCAATGATGTTACTCAGACCTGTGGGGCACAGGGTGGACACGGAGGGGGCGGGGCAGAATCAGAGAGAAGGATGTTAATTTCCAAGCAGAATGCCAGGCACTTGAGCAGGATTAAAGGACATGGACGGTTGCCCTGGCTGGTGTGGCTCAGTTGGTTGAGCACCTCCCTGTGCACAAAGGTTGCTGGTTGGATTCCCTGTCAGGGCACATGCCTGGGTTAAGGGCTGGATCCCCCGTAGGGGGTGTGCAGGAGTCAGGCAATGGATTTTTTTTTTCTCTCTCTCCCTCTCCATTCCTCTCTCTCTAAAATAAATAAAAACATTAAAAGGGGGGGGGGCAGGGACAGTTGGATGGGCCTTCATTTTCACAGTGCATGGATAGGCGAGCATACAGGGATGTTGGAAAGCATTGCCTTTATCATTTCATTTGGAGGGAGCTACAAAGGAAAGAACTAATGGAAGCAGATATGGAGGAGGGAGAGGAGAGGCATTTGAGTATTACTGAGTAACAATAATAATAATAGACATTGTTTATTGAGCATTTACCACCTGCCTTCACTGCTAAGTGCTTTTCCAGGGGTTTGCAAAGGAGGAACTGGATCACAGAGAAGTTAGGTAACTTGCTCAAGGCTGCCCTGGGATTTGAAGCTGGAGTGGCAGGGGGTTAGGACTGGTGCCTGGAGCCAGACTGCCTGGATTCAAAGCCTTTGGCCAGGTAACCTTGGTCTGAGTTTCCAGGCCTGTGGAATGGGGATAATGATAGGACTTGCCTCGTAGGGCCATGGAGAGGATTAAGTGAATTGGTACATATGAAAGCTGTGAGAGTCTGGGACTTGGTAAGTGCTACTTAAACGCTAGTCATTCTTATTAAGTGGCTCATGCTACAGCCCATGTCCTTTTTCTGGAATTGGAAGCAAATGTGACTTGTCATGTAACTGGGCTGAGAAATGTGGTTTTGGTTGCCTGCCTGCTTCCACTGAGGTAGGGTAGGGAGGGGAGAGGGCAGCGGAGGGTAGGCCCAGTACCCTGGGAGGGCCT